GGCGGGCTGTGGTGAGGGGTACGAAGAGCCCTGCTGGAGCCCTGGGCTGTGCAGGGAGGGCAGGGAATGCAGCGGGCTGCACCGACTCAGTGACACGCTCCCAGTGACCTTGATCTGTGCTTGGACGAGCTGCAGCCCTGGCTGCTCCCGCTGCCCACCTTTGCCCCTGCTCTGGTATCCTACAGCCTGGGCTTGAGGCCATGTTGCTGGCTGTGCTCTGGGCCCATGGGGCCTCCTCCTGCCCCTCGGCACTCCTGTGGGACCAGCTCTGCTCCTGCCCCTCTGCTCTGCCAGCCCTGGGAGGGGACCTCGGGGCAGTGACTTGTGCCCTTCCTTCCCTTACAGGGAAGCCCCCAGTAGTTACCCTCAAGCCTCTGCTCCCCTTGGATTCAGGACGTGCTCACCATACAAGTACAAGCACAAGTCCTTCACAACAGTCCTACTCTCTTCAGGTAGCAGAGCCAGACCTGCTGAAAGCCTGTGCTGGGGCTGACATCCTCCTCTTTGTAGTGCCCCACCAGTTTATTGGCAACGTGTGTGATCAGCTCAAGGGCCATGTGAAGAAAGATGCTGTTGGGATGTCACTCATCAAGGTGTGAGCAGGGGGAGCCCAGGCAGGTCACTGGGGTACTGGGCTAAAGGGGTTTAACTGGGAGCAGCCTGGCTGCGAAGGAATCCTGGGATTTTGGAGGGTTAGGAAGGGACGTGGTAGGTGGGGATTTGGAGGTGTATTGGTGGAGGAGAAGGGTGAGGGCATGTGGGGGATCTCAAGCGCTGTGAGGAATGGGGTGCAGCTGAGCACTGGGGGGCTGTGGGGATGAGAGCAAGAGCATTGGAGCACAGGGAATGGCGGAGTGGGGGCAGGTCCTCATCTCTCGCCCTGGTTGTCTCCCAGGGGGTGGATGAAGGACCAGATGGGCTGAGGCTGATCTCAGACATCATCCGTGAGAAACTGGGAATAGAGATGAGCGTCCTCATGGGGGCCAATATTGCAAATGAAGTGGCAGAAGAGAAGTTCTGTGAAACAACCATCGGTAAGGAGCCAAGAACCCCCCTCAGCAGCAGCCTTTGCTCCTGAGGAGTGGGAAGAGGCAAAGGGCTGGGCCTGGTGCAGCCCAAACTGCTGCTGCCTTGGGTGAGCTGCCCCCCATGGAGGCAGCCACGCTCCGTAGGAGCCGGATGAGCTCATTCACAGGGTTTACAATGTGATTGCTCGCTTCATTAAAACCAGAGTTGTGTGTCTAAAAGTTCCTGCCAGCACAGACTAAGCATCATGCAGTCTGCCTGGCACAAACCACAGGCGTGGACACCAAGAGGCCCTTTAGAAACAGAGTTCCTACCTTCGTTTCCTTGGGCTTCAAGGGATGCTCACCTGGATCCCGTGGTGTTGGCAGGCAGGGCTGCTTGAAAGCTCATCTGGTGGCTGTTCCTAACATCCTCCACACAGTTTGTGAATCAGGCCCAGCAGCCAAAACCAACAGCCCAGTTTGCTGCTGGGTTAGAAGTTCCAGGGTTCAAAGTGTCTGTATTTTAAACGAAAGCAAACCTGCTGTGCAGGAGGGTGCAGAGACTGGAGTGCTATAAACAGAGCATGTTTACCACTGCAAGCACAGAGATGCTTTTGCACTGCAGGAACAGGGAGAAGAGCAGTCTCCAAACCCACATTTGCAGCCTTTGAAGATGCCTTTCATTTACTGGACATATCATTTCTCGACACAGCAGTAGGGACTGTCCCTGTGTTCTGGAATTCCAAGGCTGAACCTTGCTTATCTGCCCCACAATGTTTAGCAATGCCCATCCGTTGGGCAATAGGTTGCTCTAGCTGCAAGGCCTTTTGCTGCAGGAACACACCACCGGGCAGGACGCAGCAGCACAGTCCTACCTTAGGGCCTTCCCCCATCATCTTCCTCTTTCCCCCACTGTCTCATCAGGCTGCAAGAACCTGCAGCACGGGCAGATGCTGAAGGAGCTGATGCAGACACCGAATTTCCGGGTGACAGTGGTGCAGGAAGCTGACACTGTGGAGATCTGTGGGGCTCTCAAGGTGGGTGAGCTGCTCTCTGGGCTTTGCAGGTCTTGCTTAGCAGAGCCTGTGACTCCCTATGGCCCTGCAGGGAGCTCTGGGGGGAGGCTGACAGCGGAATGAACCCCTCTGGGCACTGCACTGTGGCTCACTGAGACCTTTGGGTCAAAAGCCAGACTTTGGATGTGTCCTGTTCAGCTGCTTGGAGGGACGATGATCACTGGATCATCGGGAGCAGGCAGGAGCCTGGGCTTGGGATCACACGGGCAGCTCATGGACACAGCAAAGCCCTGAGCTCCACTGGGAACAGATCCTTCCACAATGCTGCTGTTTTCCAGAACGTTGTGGCTGTAGGAGCAGGGTTCTGCGATGGGCTCGGCTACGGAGACAACACGAAGGCTGCCGTGATCCGTCTGGGACTTATGGAGATGATTGGCTTTGCCAAACTCTTCTGTAAGGGCCCTGTCACCTCCTCCACGTTCCTGCAGAGCTGTGGGGTCGCTGATCTCATCACTACCTGCTATGGTGGCCGCAATCGAAAGGTGGCTGAGGCTTTTGCCAAGACTGGGAAGGTAAGAGGAGCAACCCTGGTACCTGCATCCCCCTGCTGAGGTAAACCCAGTTAGCACGGTGGTACATCTGCCTTCACTCACCCAGCGCCTCAGCCCGGCTCCAGGGAAGGGCTGTGGGGTGGCAGATGGGGTTGCAGGGCCCGGTTCCCTAAATTTGTTGGGTTGTTTCAGTCTCTGGAGCAGCTGGAGAAGGAGATGTTGAATGGGCAGAAGCTGCAGGGTCCCCAGACGTCTGCCGAGCTCCATCGCATCCTGAAAAGCAAGAACGCAGTGGAGAAGTGAGTGCTGCTGTCTCCCTTGTCTGCTCTTTTGTGGGGGCAGAAGGGGAACCCCAACCTTCAGGTCAATTTCTGCACAGCCCAAACAAACCAGGTGGCCAGGAATGACTTGCTCCTGCCCAGCAGTCCTTGCATGACACCACAGGAGGTGCTCTGACTCTGCCAGCTGTGGTGACAGGGCAAGGGGTGACTTTGTTCATCTGCCCACAGGTTCCCCCTCTTCACAGCTGTGTATCAGATCTGCTACCAGGGCAAACCTGTTACTGATGTCATCAAGTGCCTCCAGAACCACCCTGAGCACATGTAAGGGGGCTCTGCCTGCAAGACCACTGATCCTGCCAAGATGAGCAGAGAGTTGCAGCTTTGTAAGGAGTCCAGGTCTCTTGGGAGCCTTTGTAGGGTGCTGGAAGGGCAGAAGGTCCTTTTATCAGCCCTGGACACTGCCAGCCTAAGCCTGGCATCCACATAGAGGTACCTGTTTATCTCACTTTCTCTTCAAAGGGCTCATTTAGCTTTGCTGCTGTCTAGGCTCTGCCCTGAGTGGGGCTGAGCATCTTCCTCCTTCCACTTGGTCTTGCCGTGATGGATTCAGTTCTGAGAGGGACTCTGCCAGGTCATCCTGAGGAGGCACTGCCTGGGAGGACAAGCTTTGCTATTAGCCCCATGGGGCCACTCTGCATGATACCAGCCCTTTCTTGATCACCGCTCTTGCTTTTGGCTTAACTGTCTCATGCAGAGGACACAGTTCCCTGCCAGGCTCCACCAGGATGAATGAAGCTCCTCAGGACTCCCAAGGGGCTGAGAATCACTCTTCTTTCTCGGAAGCACAGCACAGAAAACAGGGTTCTTTGCCACGTTGCCATGTGCTGCTGCCCCAGCCACCCCCAGCTGCTCTGGCCAGTGCTTTGTGTGTGAGGGCACTTATTTAGGCTTTTGGCTCTTGCAGTCAAACCTCCCCTGTTGTCACAGATTTGCCTGTGCTGATTCCATGCCCATCCCTGGACAGCCTTTCCCCCTCATGCTGGTTTGGCCTCTTGGCTTTGGCAATGCAGGGACCAACTGCCCCAAAGTCTTTGTGAGCAGCTGTAGCAAGTGTGCCAAGTGTAACCCTTGGCTGTGTACCTGACAGAGCAGTTGGGTCACATTGCCTTTAGATGGATGATCCACAGCAGCTTTTTGCCTTCTCTCTGCCTTGCTCCATTCTGTGCCTTAGCCCAGTCTTTGCTTCTACCTGTGGCTTTCTAGGAGCTGAGAAAGCAGGTTCCACACTTCCTTTCCCTGCTGCCCCTCTTGTGAGGGTGCTGGAAAGCACCCACTGACACAAGGGGCAGCAAGGGACGTGTGATCCACAGAGAGGTACAAGGAGACCTCCCACCATCACAGGAGAGGACAGAGGTCTCATGCCTCATGCTCTGCCTTTCACGCTTGCCCAGCTGGGTGCCATGTGCTTCCTGCTGCTCTGAAGCTGCTCCTGTTTGCTCAGGCCAGCGTGGCCAGTTCAGTGACCCCAGTCTGGGCTGGCGGCTGGAGCTGCCCCAGGGCTCACTGTCCACCCCTGTTCCAGGTCCTGGAGCTGCTGGCTCTCTGACTAGCCCCACAGCTTAGGAATGTTTAAAGCAATAATAAACTTGGAGAGGAGGTGGGAGACACGCTCTTTGCTCTGTGGCTCTGGTGCATCTTTGGGTTGGTGCCTGCTGGACTTGCTGAGAGTGCAGAGAAGGGCACTGTTCATTCCCTCCTGGCTCTGCACCCTTCTGTGCTGTCCCAGAATCAGCAAGAATGCCCCCGCGGGTCCTAGTTCACTCACAACATAACACACTGTCCCACTTGCTTTTTCTCAGCAGTGTTCAAGTTTGGCTGTAGGAGTGAAGAGGGTTGAGGTTGCAATGGTAGAACTGGGTACAGAGTCCTAACTCTTCCACCTGGGGCCCGTGGGAGCTGGGCCAGGAGCCTGCTGTGCCCCGTGTACCCCAGGCCGTGCCTCCTCTGGTGTCTTGGCTTCTTGGAACATGCTGTGTTGCTTTATTCTTCTCTTCCCAACTGCTTTTCCCAGACTTGCCTTGTCCTTGTCTTTCTTTGAAATGCATCTTATACCGAGTGACCTTTCCAAGACTCTTACAGCCCTCTGCTCAGCCTCTTGCTAGGGGAATTTAATCTGCTGGCATTGCAGTTGTTTCTGTGCCTTTTATTAGACACACTTTCTCACTGGGTACCCTGCGAC